AATGTTGTGGCTAAGCATGCCTCGCTTAGGTAGTTTTTTCTCATTGCAAATATGTATCACGTTTGTTTACACCAATTGGTTAAAGTTGCTGATACATTTTTCTTCCCCCTCATTGCTAAAAATGCCTGCACTTACTAATAAATGTTATCTGAATTGCTTACCTCCAAGCTGTGTCTTTATGATAGATGAAATAATAAAAGTAATTGTTACTTTGATGATATTATAATACCAAAAGACTGGGATTTTGTTCCTTTAATTACTCTGATTATCTAACTAATCTCTGATTGAAGAGTATGTTTCAGAGGGATTCTTCTGCACGTAGAAAATAACTCCTTTTGTTGTCTGGGTTGGGATGTTTGCCAACATCCCAACATCAGCTGCCTTTTACATGCTTTTTTGTGTTGTGGGTTATGTACGTTATTTGTGAATAATATTTTATCTGTAGACAGGGCTGTATTAAGTATGCTGTGTAATGTCTAATGTTCTCTCACTTCTATCAACACATGCCAGTTTTGGCCAGGATGTTCTGAACTTGCCCGTTCTGTCATCTTTTGTTATCTGCCACCAAGAGGGCTACTGGGTGGTGAAGATAATTCCTATAGTACAAACATTGGTAGGTAATGGCCTGAGACAGTTATGTTTGTCTGCTCAGTGAGGCAGGGTATGGAAGTAATGACTGGTATTTTTTTACTGTTTTCATTTTCCTGATTATATGATTTAGTGATCTAACATCTTTGATTTGATATTTTCTCTTAAATATATTAGGTGATTAATATTCTTGTCTGTGAATGTAATATAGTAAATATTTTAGTATAAAGTGGTACGCCCTGTACCTGTATCCCTTGAGGCTTGGCTTGGTAATCAGAATGATGTTTAGTTTTACTTTGGAGATAGAAGCTTTCATTCACTTTTTGTCTCAGAAGCTGGAAATCATGTAACTGTCAGCTGTATGTCAGTCTAATGAGAAATGAAAAAAGAGCATTGTTCCCACCAAGAAAAACCTCAAAACACTTTCTCCAATTTATCTATCAAAGCCACTGTTTTTTGTTTTTTGTTTTTTTGTTTTTTTGTTTTTTCCCATTCTTTCCATTTTTTTCCCCTTGGATTATTTTAGGGAAAGTGAGAAGTGAGTCAAAGTAGTTTTCAGAACACCCCTGATTTTACTGTCTAATATGGTAATTTCAAATATTTATCCAATTATCTAGCTATTTCAGTAGCTAGAAGCTTGTCTTCTGTATTTTCGGTATGTATTTCTGTATATATATTTCTATATATTCTGTATTTCAGGCAGGCAGTAGTAGTGCTGAGCATGATGTTTCTCCATTAGTTTTTATTCAGAGGTTTACATCTTTAGCAGCTTAAAAACTTCTAGAAAAAAATCAATTGTATTCCTAGTATCTGGTATTTCTTTTAAAGCCACTTGCAGTAGAACTGTTAAAACATAGTGTAAATTCATCAAAGACTGCTGAAAGACAAAAATTCTGTGCCTCACTTAAACATAATTATTTTCATATATTATTATGATTCCATCAGACAATGCATTTTTTCTTGATGTTTCTTTAATTCTTTGGGTTTAAATAATGTTTTGTTTTTTTTTTCCCCCCTAACCTGCTGGAAGTCTTACAGTTAACAAAAAAAAGCAGTAATACTTTATAGTTTTATTTCAACAATGGTTTCTCCTGTGTGTAGTAAAATGCATCTTGAATTTGAAGGGATTTTGTGTGTAAACTGAGAGATAATAGTGTTTCTTGTACGTATTACATATATTATCTTTAGAAATGAAAAATATTGTAATGCACCAACTGCATATGTACCTTCCATTCTCCAGATACCCCAGTTTCTTTTCTGTTACTGTTTATTGTGACTGATCAAGGACATGATGAATGAAAGAAACAGTTTCAAATGATGTCAAGTCTTTCACAGAGTATCTATAGATTTATACATAGATTGATAAATGAATAGATAAATTTTGTTTGAAAAAGATCTTTCTGATCGGATACTTTTGGATAAAAACTAATATTAAATGCAACTGATTAAAACTACAATTTCAGTGTTTGCTTTTCTTAGAATCATAGAATCATAGAATCCTTAGGGTTGGAAGGCACCTTTAAAGGTCATTTGACCCACTCTCCTGCAATGAACAGGGACATCCACAACTAGATCAGGTTGTCCAGGACCTGGTCCAGCCTGGCCTTGAAAGTCTCCAGGGATGGGGCAGTAATCACTTCTCTGGGCAACCTGTTCCAGTGCCTTGCTGCCCTCAGTGCCAAAGCTTTTTTCCTTATATCCAACCTAAGTTTTCCCTCTTTAAGCTTGAAATCATTTCCCATTGTCCTGTCACAACAGACCCTGCTGAAGAGTCTGTCCCCTTCTTTTCTGCAGCTCCCCTTTAGATACTGAAAAGCCACTATCAGGTCACCTCGGAGCCTTCCTTTCTCCAGGCTGAACAGATCCATCTCTTTCAGTCTGTCCTTACAGGAGAGGCACCCCAGGTCTTTTTTGGCAGTGCTTTGCTCATTCCTTTCATCCCCAGCTTCTTTCATTTAATCTTCCATTATAGAGTGGCGTGAAAATGCAGCGTATTGATGTTGACATTCAGATAAATCTTAATCTAGCCATTTTTTTTAGCTGAATGCAAGATTTAATGGACTTTAAATTTAAACATGAGAGTTAAATAAACTGTAGTTTTAAACTGATAACATTATTATTATTTGAGTAGTTTGTATATATTTGAAACTTAACCATTCATTTCTTAAGAATTAGAAGTTTATATGAATTATCTTCAAACTGTAGTTTAGCAGTATCCAATCTATTGTGTCAGATTCTTCTAAACTGTGCCTACTGAAGTGGTAGTAACTGACTTTTCAGCAAAAGTCAGGCTGCAGTGTATTTCTGATGTCAGTATGTAGATGGAGGAGTTAAATTTTTCTTCTGCCATATTTTGAAGAAGGATTCTGAAGCTAATTTTGTGATAGCTCTGGTCTGCAGGTTGCACATGGCTTTTCTGCATGGCAATCCCTACATATTACTACCGCAGTAGTGGTAGGGATTTTATTGGGACAATGCTCTGATGTGTTTTTGGAGGAACTATTTGGAAATGTGATGATAGTATCGAATATGGGTATAGCGTACCTTACTTCATTATTCAGAAACTCACCCCAGTTTAAATTCATAAGAGGGAGGAAACTTTCCAACAGGGAATGTTGTACTTAATGAACATAATGAATACGTACATAACAAACATAATATACATTCAGAGGTATTTCATGGAACTAGGTATTTAATTTAAAAAAAAAAAAAGTATTCATTAAAAAAAAATTCATATAAAAAATCATACTATAAGTACCAATGACAAAAGTACAGGATTACCTTCTGATGAAAGAAAACAGTATTCTGTGCAATCCACAGTACAGAATCTGCTTTAGCAGTGTGCTGGTCTGGATGATATCCAGTGATCCCCTACAATTTTGTGATACAGTTTTCTGATTCCTGAGACATAACAGTTTCAAAGAATAAAATAATAGATTATTCGTGTCCTTAAGTTTAGAAACTTGGTCAACAAGATAATTCTATCTGGAGATTGGGCCTCATCTGATGCTAAATTTAAAAAAAATCACTTGTGCTAACTGAAATTTGGCAAGTCATTTTCAAATATTTTGTGTGTGCAGTAACTTCCCATTAAGTCATCACCGTATTCTTAGCTTTTGCCTTCGGGTTTTCGTATTTTGTCTTAGAACGAAAGGAAAGCAAGCATGTTCATACACCTTGATTATTTCTTTTCATTGTACTACTTATGCTTTTCAAGGAAAAGAAAGGTAGATTAGAAATAGGTAGAAAGAGCAGACAAAAGAATTTGCATCATCCTACAGAAAGCAAGCTAATAAACACTAGCAGTTCATCACAAGCATGTTTCAATTTTTATAAGAGTAAACACCTTCAATGTTTTTTTCACTCCTTTTAAATTAACCGTAGCAAACTGGAAAGCCAGGCTATGTATTTAGCATTTTTTGTATATCACTGTTTACCTTAAAGAAACCGTTATCTCAGTTTTGCCCATTAACAGAGTCATTTATCTATAGTATTAAATTCTTTGAAAGTTTTTCCACTTAAGAATCTATTTTTTTAGCCAATTTGCTTTCAGTCTGAATAATGTATGTACTGCAGGCATATTGATTTATTTATCGCAGCCTCTTATAGTAAGTATTTCGAAGCTTCGGAAAAATAATTTCAATTTTAAAATCATCTCTTAGCATTTGCAGCATTTCTTTCAAAGAATCCCATTTTCACAATTGTTAAGTGTCAATTCAATTAGTATAAAATATTCTACCGATAAGCAGGATTTGAAAGAAAACAGTAAGAAGATTATTGATCAGTGACCAAAGTGAAGTTGATGAGGGAAGTAGTGCATGAGGTGTACATTGCACAGAAGGCTAGATTACAGGTTTACAACACTCTGTTCTAGACCTTAAAACATAAAATTTTGAAGTGGCTGCTCACTATCCTTGCCTGTTCCTTCCTCTTTATAGGAGAATCCAAACGAAACAGAAAGTTGCTGTGGTACTTGAGTGCATTTATTAGCTAACAAATTTCTCACTAGAAGAGATGTAAAAGTTGGAACCCTATAAATGCCTGCATATACCTTTTGGATGCGTGGCTAACATGTCACCTATTTTTAAGAAGAAAATAATGATGCTGCTGAGGATTTATGCAGTATTTGGATAAGTAAATTATGCTTAAAGTTACAAAGCACAGTTCATAGAGTCAGAAGTAAGGCTATGGTTTCTTTTTGTTCTTAGCTTTAGAACTTAGTCAAGTCTTAATGTGCTGAAGTACCTCTGTAGAATCCTGGAATATCACATTTTCTGAGTTAACAACTTCGAATGCTTCTTACCACTAGAAGAATTGGATTTCACATGTGGGATTTTTGTTTTTGATTTTGTTAACTACAAGCTGTGGCATATTATACAACTTGTTACTCAGGTTCCTCTGTTCTTTTGCAGTGCACCTGCAGGAAAGACATGGTCACAATTTCCATGGACGTTTTTGTGAGGAAGTTTCAGCCAGACAGATACCAGCTGTGGAAACAAGGCAAAGATTTATATACCATTGATCATACAAAGCCGACTCCTGAATCAACACCTGAAGTAAGGATGTGGCTACAGAGAAGAAAGAAAATAAGGAAACTTTCCAACAGGTATTTGTTTCTTTATCCTTCATTTGGTTGTTTTCAATATGATGTCCGTTTCCTTGTTTCTTTTGTATTTGTCTGACATTCTATTCCAGTTTGTTACATGCATCGCTGAAGTTAATGAGCATAGAGAGAGTCAAAATTCATTCTAGCCTGGAGTTTAGAATCATTCTTTAGTAAATATCATTCCAAAGAAAATCTCAAAATTTCATTGTTTCTAGTGAATTCTGCATCCAAAAAACAAGGGAGAAGTGTCATCCTCACAGGTGAGAAAGGGATTAAATTGGAAAAACAAGGCATGGAGCTGTGGCAGAATCCCTACAGCCATATGATGTCTCTAGCAACAGTTTTAGCCCTCACTACAATCTGGTTCTAAGGAGATATCACTGCTTATTTGGCAGACTCAGTGCAGCAGCAGCCAAAACCTTTCTGTATTTACCTCAGGTCAGTGATAGATCATAAGAACAGTCTAAATCCCAGTTGTTTATGTTTGCACCACTAACAAAAATAGAGGAAAAAAGTCTCAGCTTGGTACTAAAGGTTTAAAATCCTGACCTATTAAAGCAGTTTTATAGCTGGTTTTGTTTTCTTGTTGCTCATCATGTCTCTTGTTTACATTGCGCAGGTATGTTTTGTTTCTGCACTACTGCTTTCCTGTCTTGATTTTACTGAACATGATTTTTATGGATTTTTTTTTTTTCATTATCTAATAAAGATCATCTTAGTTTCTAGCGTAGAGTGGGCTGTTGTATTGGTATCGAGTTACTGGGAAGTTTTCTGGGTTAATACCTTTCCAAATTTCTAATTAACTTTGAATTTCATCATTTTCTTTGTGAGTGCATGTCATTACTGAGGAAGATAATAGAAAAATCAACCCATACAGAAGAAAACCAACTCCTGTTGTAGAGGAGAAATGTAGCTGAGGAATGTAACATTGGGTTTCTTCTCAGGTTGCTAAGAATAGTTTGTGAGATATAATCAGGTATTAAAGATAGCTAATAAAGAAGATGAATGGCCAGTTTCTTATAAGGGTATAGTATTAACCCAAATAGAATGATTTTGTTGGTTAGTAATTCAATGCCCCTTTGCTCTATAGTGAGCTTCAGTTATGTTGCGGCAAAACTGCGCCTGTACACTTGGATGCAGTTTTAACTATATGCAAAGACTTCTTAAAAATCATATTGAAAGTATTATCACAGGAACACATAATATGATTTCATGCACTCAGCTTAGCTAATAAACACAATTCCTATGTTGTTTAATTCTTGATTGGCGTTTGTTTAGCCATGTTAATAATGCATCTTACAAAGGGAGAATGAAGTACTTGTTCAGCTTCATTTCTACTATCACATGTCAAATGAAATTTTTAATCATTCTGATTTTGGGAATTATGTTAGTTGCAACAGAGGGAAAATTGAAATACCACGTATGGGGATTTTCATGAATGTACTTACATAACGCAACTTTGACATTTGAAGCTGGAATAGTTTGCTTCAACAGAACTGCATAAAAACAGTTATAATACTGGTTGTATAATACTTCGATAAATTTTCTGGAATTACAATTTTATTATTGTACTATTACTGGTAGTATTTTAGAGGAGTATTTTAGAGGATGTTGAAAGGTATAGATTAGTGGATTCTCGATAAAGGAGAAGGGTTAAGCTTTTTTTTTCCTGGAGATGTTTAGGGTCTAACATGCAAGACCATTGTAAAATATCCTGTTTTTCCTCCTATAGTCGGGCATTTATTGCAAATGCATCATCAGTTTTACAATCTGATATACAATCAGTCAGATACAGATCTTCTCTTTTGATATCACAGAGCTGAATTTGAAACTGGCCTCCAATCTCCCCTTCCATTTATCCTGAGCGCATAAACTGCAAACCTGTTTCTGAAAGAGGCTCACAGCTCTTTTGTTCCAACTTTGCTCTTCAGCTTCTGAGGATGCAAAAACCTGTACGGTTTTTAAAAATCATTGTCAAATTTATTGTTTGATATAATAGATGTTCAGAATATTTGGTGATCGGAATTTTTTGTTCATTCAGATGCTTGTTTGTATTAAAATGCTTATAATACCTTCTACGATATACGGATAGTCCTGATTTTATAAGGGTACTTGAACTAGTATTTTGCTAGTACTGGTATTGGAAGTAGCACCTGGTTTTAGCCCATTTGAGAGAGTTTTGCTTTCATTACTTTCTTAATGGTTGATCTCTTTCAGGTTCAAAAGAATGATTCATCAAAAAACTAATTTGGATGCTGGTTAAATGATAGTTATGTAAAATTATTTTACAGTTTAATAACTTCTGTCATAGAATGGTGAAAAAGATTAGAAGGTTAAATCAAATAGTTAATCTATCAATAAATTGTAAACACTATCTCAACACAAAAGATGAAAAATTGTCAGGTTTTACCACTTTAAGCAGGTGAAAGGGACATATATATTGGTAGACATTTTATCTTATCCAAGACAGACTCTACTCTGACAGCAATATCTCTTATAGCAGCTTCCAGCACAACAGATCTCGATCTAAAAAGCTTAAAACTCCAGGGGACAAGAGACAATCTGCTATGGCAACTGGTGCAGAAATCAAAGAGACTGAAGCAACTACTGATGGCTTCAAGGTCAATGAAAAACCAGATGAAAAAGTGAGACCGCTAAGTACAGAAGTGCCTTCTGGAGAAGAAGAAAGCAGTAGTAGAATGCAGCTGGATCAACATTTATTGGATAATGTCAAGGTTGCAGGTGAGATAAGGACAGATGATTTTTTGCATGTAAGTTGTAGGCTGTAGATTCTCTGATGCCACAGATCAGTTGATATTAAAGCATCGTACTATCCTAAGTAGAATACTAAAGCTAAGTACTTATAAAGTTATACAGAGAAGGTTGATTCAGTAAAAGTGAATGATCAATTACTATTTAGAACTGAGAGTAGCATCACTTGTATAACACCCGTAATAGCAATTGTGCAGCAAAACATGGGATGACTTAACACTGATGCAGACAGTGTTGAACATATATACTTGCAATGCACTACAGGTATTTTATCAAAAATACTGCATGTTAAAAGCAGTCTGTGTTTGTGCAAAAAATGCTCTATTTTAAGACTACAAAATTACTGTCACTTTCCCCTTAACAGTCTGATAATGCAAGTTATAAAGGTATTATCAAGTCAGAGGTACTTTGTTCCCTACAGTGATTTTGTACTGAGATCTACTGATATGTTTAATCTATTCTTTCTCTTAATATTGAATTCCACTGTAGCTCAAGTATATACATTCCTGTTCCAAAATGCAAACTGAAATCTTACCTTTGAGGGCAATCCTGTGAATTCAAAATTATACAAAAAATTTGGTTGCACATACACAGGCTATTTTTCTGGTTTTAATTATTAATAGTTGCGTTAGTTTTGTTAGAGGAGGTAAACACCAGGATTGAGCTCATGACGATGCCACAGTGATTAATCCAGTATGGAAGCTTTTTGTGGTGCCGTTCCTTTACAGCTTCCCCCAACTTTAACAGAGGTTTGAAGTGTTCCATGAACACTGAGAAACTAGTGATTAGTTATGGTGATTAGTTAGCTTCCTTCATGTGCTCATTGATAAGGGAAGGAAAAGCAGAGAAAAGTGGAGCACTATCCATTTTCCCTTGTGCTATTGAAAAGTGGTACCTAGACCTTTGTAGAGGAAGGGACCATTTTAGATGTAACACTGGTAGCTTCAGTTGAAGGGATTTGCCCTGAGTTATCTCTGGCTAGTACATTCATTATGCTCTATCGGGGCAGTAGTCTTCATTTGCATAGATTCTGTTTTGTTACTGCATGGACTTTCTATCAGTTTTCTCATTTGATCTGTCATTTTATCAGAAGAGCACATTGAAATAACCTTGGAAATGCTGCTGAAAAGTACACTGGGTGTGTGGCATAGAGTTCTTTGAGAATGTATCTTTTGGGTCACCTTTCCAGCCTCCTGTTCTGTCTGAAAACATCCCAGAAAACATGGAAATCGATGGAAACATCCACAGATAAAGAATTTCAACAAAGTAAAATCCACACAAATTTCATCCTTCTGCACTGAAGGGTGAAATTCCACTGAAATATGAAATTACAGTAATTGCTGAACTATAAATTTATGCTAATTGCTTTTCATTTTTAGACTAGTGCTGTCGCTTTCAAAAATATTCTTGGTATCTATTTGGAATATATTTTCCTAATTATAAACCATTAGTCTTTGTTTATTTTCATTTGTAAAACTGGCATAATACATATAAATGCAGATCGTAAAGGTCAATATACCAACCTTCTATATTGTGTTTTTTTTTCAGCCAGTAAAAGTGCTTGCAAGCTGTCAGAATAAACAAGCTACATGAATATTGATTATTTTGAATCACTTAAAACTGTTGCAATTCAAACACAAAATGCCTATAAAAAGATTAAAGCTATATTTCACACTCCAAACTCAAAATTTTACATGTAATTTATTCTGTGATCAAACCTATATTCCACTTTTATGTATGTCCTTCTACTACATTATTTGTTTTGTATGCTTTCTAAATGAGGAACTGTATTCTTTATTTGAATAATTCAGATTGTTTTGAAGTGAAATGCAGTAATATAATGTGAGATTTATTAAGAAGCCATATTTTTGATCCACAGGAAGCATCCTTTCAGACTCATTTTCCTGTCCTGTTCCTTTAGGAATGGAACCAAAAGCTGATGAGGATAAGGAAGATTCCAGTGACTCTCTCGTTACATTTGAAGATTCAGAGGCCTGTGTGCCCAGTTCTAATAGCTGTAAGAAAGAAGAGAGTTTGAAAACTCAGTATAAGTCTAAATCATCCATGCCATACCTGAAGTGCCAGGAACATAATTCTGAGGCAGAAAACCCTGCTAAAAAGGTGAATGTCTCTACAGAGGATGATGTCAGTGACCTAGAGAGTGGAAATAGCTTGAGACATGGTGAAGTACCAGTTACAAAAAGGAATGAAGATGATGACATGGAAACATCCAATGTATGTGAAGCAAATTTTCATCATTATATTAATATATTCCTGATTTAATACATGACCAAACCTGTTCCTAATGAGAACTGATATCTGTAGTAAGGCAGTTAAGAATATGCATGATTTTAATCAGATGTTAATTTCAGCATGTTCTGAAGTGTTCAGACAAGAGTGAGAATTGAAAGGGAGGATTTTTTGGATCTTACTTGTTGATGTATTTTCCCTCTGATTTTAGATTTTTACTAATCTCACTTTATGTCTGTGAATCTGGTCTGTCAATGACTACTCTCAAGGTATTCCTGTGATCGCTGTCTGCCAGTATTAACAAGGCAATGAGCTCTAATTGACCAGAAATGTGTTGAACCAGAAATACAAGTTATTACGTATCACAGAATGGTTGATGTTCGAGGGGACCTCTGGAGGTCATCCAGTCCAACTGCCTTGCTCAATCAGGTTTACCCAGAGCGCAGTCCCCAAGACCACGCCAGGTGGCATTTGAAAATCCTTGAAGGGCGACTCCACAGCCACTAGACAGCCTGTGCTGGTGCTCCATTATCCTCATAGTAAAGAAGTGATTCCTGGTGTTTAGACAGTACTTCTTGTGTTCCCATTTGTGCCCACTGCTTCTTGTCCTGGCATGGGCACCACCAAAAAGAGTCTGACCCCCACTCTCTTCAGGTGTTCATACACATTGGTAAGATCTCCTCCTGAACCTTCTCTTCTCCATCCTGAAGTCCCAGCTCTCTCAGCGTCTCCTCACAGTAGAGGTGCTCCAGTCTCTTGATCATCTTTGGAGCCCTGTTGGTGACTGGACTCTCTCCCTGTCTTACTTGAATTGGGGACCCCAGAATTGGACACAGTACTCGAGATGTGACCTTACCAATGCTGAGGATTAGTTCTCTTGACCTTATGGTGATGTGTGGTCTGATGCAGCCAAGAATGCCATTATCTTTCATAGCTGTGAGAGCACATTGCTCAACTTGGTATCCATGAGGACTTCAAAAAGTTTTTTCCTGCCATGCTCCTTTCCAGCTGGGTAAACCTCAGCATGTCCTGGTGCTTGAGACTGTCCCTCTCACTTGCAGGACACTGCATTTCTTCTTGTTGAACTTCATAATATTTTTGTCAGTCCAACTCTCTAGACTTTCAGGGTCTATCTGTATGCCTGAATGACTCTGTCGAGTCAATCGCTCCTCACAGCTTTGTGTTATCCACAATTAGAAATGAGTACTGTATTTAGGATCACACATTTATACTTAAAAAAATGTTTTGTTTTGTTTTATTTTTTACCTATTATTATGCTAAGAATCCAGAAGAAGGCAAAAGATGTAGTAGAAGGGCTAGAATTAATGTCCAGTGATGAGAGGCTGTGTACAGTTGGGTTACCCAGTCAAGGAGACCAAGAGTCAATACAGGAGGGGAAGAAGTGGGAGCTGCTGGGTTCTGCTCCTCAGAACTTACAGTGGAACAGGAATAGCACAAAGCTGCCATAGAAAGTTCATATTTCACATTAGGAAGCATTTCTGTATCGTGACGATGATCAGACTGGAACAGGCTTCCTAGAGATGATCAGTAGCCCATCCCTGTCAGTGTTTCAGGAGGCATTTGGACAGTGTTCTAATTTTGCTGTAGCTCTCAGTTAGTCCTGAAGTGGCCAGGCAATTGGAATAGATAGTGTTCGAAAGCTCCTTTGAACTGAATTTAACTCTTCTATTCTATTGCACTGCTGTTATTCTGTGGAAGGGTGAATAGCATTTATTTTAGGAAGCATAATGAAAAATACAAAGCTGTAGTGCTAGTCACAATAGTTTTATTAGTTTGGCAGTTTCCCTGTTTGGCAGAGATGGAGCCGGTGATCTACTGCCAGATTGCCAGTGTTAATGGGAAACTGGGAGGTAAAATTAAAATTACTCCAAGCATTTTACAGCCAGGAAGTGTGCACTAATGATTTTTTATTGGCTTTGTTAGCTTTAATAAGTATCCTGTATTGGACATTATATTTATCTCTTTCTATGCTTCTCAGCCATTTGTATGTTACATTTAACATAAGAGGTTTCAAATATTCCCCAGTGTAATTGCTTACTCTTTAATGTGTTTTTGCTGTAAGTTCTTACTTAAAACTTACAACTGTGCTGCATAGATACAATTAAAAAAGCAGATCATTTCCTTTATAATTTGCTGGTAACTTCTTCCAGATCATCAACCTGTCCACTGCTTTAGCCTCATTTTTCCTCTGCTAAACATCGTAAATGTGTTTTGTAATTGACTTTACAATTAATATGTAATTTTTAATTCTCAAAGCAATCAAGGCACAGATACGGAACCTGCTGGGTTACATTATTAGTGTTGAGCAACAAAACAGTGTGGTCCATAGGACTTATGTGAGATTGTCCTCAACCTGTTGCCAGTATGATTGTGCTTCCTCTATTGAGGAACCAGCAACTGATTTACTTAAGTGATTTCTCCCACTGTCACCCAAATCTGGAGTTGGGAAAGGTGCACTTCTAGAGATTGCAACATTGCTGTTAGTTCTTGATGCGTGGTTAATTTCAAGCTGAAAGTCTATAGGGTCATATAAGGGAGGAAGAAATTTCCATGTAAATCCAGTCAGGATGCTTAATTTTTTTTTTTTTTTGTCTCAACTCCAAATCCTTTCTTTTTTTAAAAATATTTTAAACTCCCACAATGATAGTTTCCTCATGTGTTTTGCACTCTGTCACAAATTGAATGGATTGCTGCCTCATTTTCACAGCCACAGTTAATGTTGCATTGTATTTCTGATTCTGCAGAGTTACTGGGCTGTTCTTCCTCCCAAACATTACCTGTGCAAAGGAGGACTTATATTCTATAAGTGTGGAAAAGGCTATTGTAACTTCAAATAATTTGTGTTTGAAAAAGGTTGCTTTTTCTTAATTTGAGTTTTATTCTGCATTACAGACATTTTATTGGGACTCCAAAGGTGCTTTGAGTACCCTTATAGTACTTAGAAATTGATATTTGTGCACATTTATAGAAGACTGGTTGATCAAAATTAATTGTAGAATTCTGTGCTAAATTAGCTATGCTTTTACCTTTCAGTCAGCAGAAACTGAAGGAAAGAAGGTATCTAAGAGCTGGCGTCATCCACTAAATAAACCCCCAGCTAGATCTCCAATGACTTTGGTTAAACAGCAAGCAACTAGTGATGAAGGTGAGTGTACTGCTTAGTAAACTTTCTGATAGTCCTTTTTTGTTCTTAGACCATATATGGTCACAAACAACAAAATTTTCTTTCTGTGTGGGAGATACTAACATTGTAGGATGATTGCACGAAAACCATTCAGTGTGGTCTGAATACACTATTCTATTTTTACTCTTCAAGTTCTTCTAAAAACTTTGGATCTATTGTTGACAAATCCTCTTAATAGAAGTCATGTAAGAGTTCTGTGTTCACCAGTCAAATCTTCCTTGTTTCTCAGAGCAGCTGAGTTTATGAGCAACCTGGAGCAGATCCAAAGAAGAGCAGTAATGCTTGTGAAGGGCTTGGAGAATATGCCCTGCAAGGAGAGAATGAAGGATCTGGAGCTTTTTAGTCTGGGGAAGAGGAGGCTGAGGGGAGATTTTATTGCTCTCTTCAAATACCTGAAAAGTGATTGCAGTGAGAGTGGGGTTGGTCCCTTCTCACTGGTGATGGGTGATAGGACAAGAGGAGATGGCCTCAAGATGTGCCAGGGGAGGTTTAGGTTGGATATCAGAAAGAACTTCTTTACCGAACTGGTTGTTAAGCACTGGAACAGGCTCCTTGGGGAGGTGGTTGAGTCACCATCCCTGGAAGTGTTTAAAAACCACTGGATGTGGTGCTCAGGGCCATGATTTAGTGAAGGGCTGTTAGAGTTAGGATAGCATGGTTGGGTCATAGTTGGACTTGATCTTCAAGGTCTTTTCTAACCTGAGCAATTTGTGATTCTGTGATTCTATATCTTTTTCATTGTGTAAACACAGATAAAAATGACACAAGAATCCTTTGAATAAAGACCTTAGGTATAGATCATAGCCCCCTTGTATTGCTTTAAAGCCTGTTTTTTCTTGTTGTTTGCCTTTTTCATAGAATTTAGACATTTTGAAGTCAATCTTTTAAGATAGTGTAGTTCTCATTCAAGAGAAATGCTTTTGACTTCTGGGCTTTATTTATGCCTTGTTTCCAGGTTTTAGCCTAGTTTAATATTGAAAGAAAGAATGAACTTCCCTATTCTTGTAGTTTTGATTTTACTGTGTTGTTTTACTCTATTGTTTTACAAGTTATTAAAAAGATCATTTTGAACAGAATTCCTCTATATTTTTCATATCTTTGGATAGAGAATCATAAAATGATTGAGTATGCCAAATCGGAAGGGATCCATAAGGATAAGCTCTGACAGCTTGGGGCCAATACCACCGCTGTAGGAACCCTGTTCATGTGCCCAACACCTTCTCAGTGAAAAACGTCTTCCTGATAGCCAACAAGAATCTCTCCTGTTGCATCTGTTGGTGCTGTCCCCTTGGGCCCTGTCACTGTCACTGGAGAGCAGAGCTCAGCACTGCCCCTCCACTCTCCTTTTGAGGAGCTGCAAGCTGCCATGAGACCTCTTCTCAGTCTGCTCTGCACTAGGTTGGAAAAACTAAGGGACTTCAGCCCCTTCTCATATCTTCCCCTCTAGAGCCTTCAGCATCTATGTAGCTCTCCTTTGCATACTCTGTAATCGTTTTGTGTCTGTTTTTGTACTGTGGTGCACACAGTAGTCAAGGTGAGGCTGAAGCAGTGCATTGTAGAGCCGGACAATCACTTCCCTCAACCAACTGGCAATCCCATGTTCATGCATCCTAGGGTTTGATGGGCCCTCCTGGCTGCCTGGGTGCACTGCTAACACCCCAGATCCCTTTCAGAGAGGCAGCTCCTGAGCACATCATCCCTGGGACTGAATGTATAGTTAGGCTTGCCCTTACCAGGTGCAGAATCTGACACTTATGTTAAACTGTTTTAATGGTTAAGCTGTTGTAATGGTTCTCATGGTTTCAAGTGTATCTAAGGAGTTGTGTGGAAGATGTTAAAAGTAAAATCTGTATTTTCACAAACATAAAAAGTGATGGAAGAACATAGTTCTGTTGCTAGATATGTTGAAAGTAATCTTTGAAAATTAGAAGCAGTGGAAGATCTCCTTGCCATTTCCCCATGTAATCAATTCTCTAGAAATTTTATTACATCAGTTTTCTGTTCACTTTGAAGATTTTGAAAGCAACTGAAAGTAAGGTAAGTAACTTGCATGGGAATGTATAAGACAGGGGTTCTGATTCAGCATTTAGGTACTTACAGTCTTTATTTTGTTATTTTTAATAATGACTAGTTTCCATTGTTTAACTCAAATGCATAAAGAAGAAGCTTAATATTAGTTAATAATTTTGTATATGCTTGCTTGTTTCTTAACTATAAATTGCTGGTATGGATGTTAGTATGTATTAAATGGTACCTTAATTATGTATTATTTAGTACCTTAAGGCATATCAAAGGGTATAATGAAGTAGGAATTAAGAAAAAGAAGCACGTGCATAAATAATTATAATAAAGTACACAACATGATTCTGTACTTAATAAATGCTAAATAATTCTCCATCCATTAAATTTAGTGTTCTGTAATTGGATACTCTGATGATCCAAAAAGTTAAAAAAAAAAAAAATGCTCAGAATTTATCGGATATTCTTTATTTGGAACTTTACTTGAGTGCTTTAACTTTAGAGATTCTCAATCTTGTGGAGAAGTTACAAAAGCTAAAATGTTTACCCATAGTGATGATCTCCTCCAAAATAAATAGGAGAAATTCTGCTTTACCCAGTAATCACAAGTACATCCAGACAGAGCTAGTAAATAAAGTTACTTCATTCTGTCAGATGTGACTTGTGAAGTTTATTGAACTATGCATGGAAGATATCCATCAAAGTGGAAAACAGATACATTGTTTGTATTACCTTAGTGTTTCAGTTCTGTAATTTACATTTCTCTGGACTTGTTCTTCAGAATTCTTTCCAGTTAGCACAGGCAAGTCCAACCCATGGCCTGCGGGCTGCTTGTGGCCCAAAATGGCCTAAAATGGCCCAAAAGGTAGTCCACCCTCTTCCTGTCATTAAAGCTGGCAGTTCTTCCCAGCAGAGTGGCCCCAGACATGTGCCTGTTGCTCAGCAACACCCAAACAATCACTGCTCTATTGGCACTATGTCGTCAGAAAGCAGCGCACAGGGAGGACGCTGCTGTGCAGTGCTGACTCAGGTGATGGCAAAAAACTGTATGCATTTTGATATACTGGCTAAACACAAGGCCCTGAACAGTGAAGAATATGCAGCAGTGCTTTCCATTTTGAGAAAGGAATTTGACAATAGAAACATGAAATTATGGAATCATTAGAGTTGAAAAGTAGCTATAAAGATCATCTAGTCCAACTCCTCTGCAATGAACAAGGACATCCACAGCTAGATCAGATTGCTCAGAGAAGCCATCCAAGCTGGAGTTGAATGTCTCCAGTGACAGGGCTTCCACAACATCTCTGGGATCTCTGGGCAACCTGCTCAGTGCCTCACCACACTCACTGTAAAAGACTTTTTCCTATATCCAACCTGAATCCCCCCTCTTTTAAGTTTGAAGCCATTCCCCCTTGTCCTGTCACAGCAGACCCTCCTGAAGAGTCCATCCCCTTCTTCCTTATAGTCCCTCTTCAGGTACTGAAGGACTACTCTCAGGTCACTTCAGAACCTTCTCTTCTCTAGGCTGAAGCTCCAGCTCTTTCAGCCTGTCCTTGTAGAAGAGCCGTTCCATCCCCTGGATCATCTTTGTCACCCTCTTCTGCACATGCTCCAACAGGTCCATGTCTCTCCTGTGCTGATGACTCCACACCTGGGTGCAGATCTCCAGATGTGATCTCATCAGTGCAGATAAAGAAGCAGGATCACCTCCTTTGTCCTGCTGACCATACCTCTATTGATGCAGCACAGAATTTGGTTGGCATTATGGGCTGCAGGGCTACACTGCTGGTTCCTGTTCAACTTTCCATCCATCAGTACCTCCCAAGTCCTTTTTGGCAGTGCTGTGCTCAGTTGTTTCATACATGGCCTGTATTGGTAGTGGGGTTTGCCTTGGCCCAGTGGCAAGACCTTGTATTTGGATTTGTTGAACGTCATGAGGTTCACCTGGGCCCAGAGCTCAAGCCTGTCTAGGTCCCTCTGATTTGTCAGCTGCACCACAAAGCTTGGGGTTTAAAGACTGCTCCCAGAAAATCATCTGTTTACATTTGTGAGTCCAGTTTTGTTTGATAAAACTACATGACCTGAAAATTTTCAAACGAAATGTGTAGAGTAGCAATCAGATACTCAACTTAAGAATCTGATCTTTACTGGACTTTCATAATCCTTATCTTAGCAGAGAAAAATATACTTCTCACCCTTATTCATGTCATTGCGAATTTTGCAATGAACAATTGTTGTCAAGGGTTAGGTACAAGAAGAGGAAATTTTCTGAAAAGTCTCTGATGAACAGCTTGTGGCCTCACTAAGAATTGCAGTCATTTCCATTGGACCAGACTGGTGAGTTAGTTTCACAAAAACAACGTCAAATATCCCACTAGTTTTATGTTGTAGTTCCTTTTTCCTCTTTCTTAATGTTTTAAGAAAACTATTTAAAATTGAAATGTTTTGTTTATATATATTAACTGTATTATTAATTTTACGAGGGCTGCTCCAAAAGTAATACCTCCTGTTTCATTCTGTTGGCCCGGTGTCAGAGGCAGATGTTGGTGGTTGGCAGTAGAGGTTGAACATTTCCACCAATATTCCGCTACATTTTGTTGCTGTGTGACAGATGGCAGCAGAGGGACAGTCTGACAGAATGGTGTGTGACATGAAAGTGCGTATGAAGCAGAGGTGTGTCATTGAATTGCCCCTTGCAGAAAAAAATTGCACCTACTGACATTTGTCTGTACTTACTGAGTGCTCATGGAGACCGTCGAGTGGATGTGAGCACAGTGAGGTGGTGCGTGGTGCATTTCAGCAGTGGTGACGGTGGGTTACTTTCGCTGGTGCTGGCTTATAATTGTGGCATGCAAGCTCTTGTTCAACACTGGTGAAAATGCATAGCTAATGGTAGTAACTGCGTTGAAGAATAGCATTTTATAGTGCTATTCTACTCTTTG